TATGAAATTTCAGATTTTCGGGTTGGATTCGGATTGGTATGATTTTAATTCGATCCGATCCGATATCCGAAATTATATGTACCTATATAAATACACACTAAAATTTTAGGGTTATGCTTATTCATTTTTCACACACCCCCTCACTCACTTAGATTTTTCCGCCTCTCTTGCACCTCTCTTCTCTTCAGTGAAGACTAAAAGAGTCTCAATGACTCAAACTTCCGATTTTACTTTGATTTTATGTCTCTTTCTTCCGCCTCTCTTCTCTTCTCTTCTGTCTTTTATGTCTATTTCATGTTCTATTCTTCAACTTTTGATTTTATTTTGATTTTTTTGTTTGTTTTGGTAGATGGAAGATGAGATAGAGACACCGAATGAACTTTAAATTGTTGAAAATTTTTGTGACAATCCGATCCGACAATCCGAAAAATTATCCGATCCAAAGTTTAAAATCCGATCCAATCCAATGTTAATTCAGATCGGATTCGGATTGCCCTTTTTAGAATCCGAAATCCGAAATATGCTAAATCCAATCCAATCCGATCCGTGCACAGCCCTACCTGTAGCCACTCGAAAATAAGTCTAGACGTCTTTGTACCGATCCACGAGACTCTACTAGACTTGCTCATGACTCGTGAGACCTAAGTGAACCTAGTGCACTGATACTATATTGTCACAACCCAAAATCCATTAAAGGTCGTGATAGCGCCTAACACCGCTGCCAGGAAAGCCAACAATAAATGATTATCTTAATTACTCATTTTAGTATTTGAAATCATAATTTTCTTCAATTACATAGTACAAAATGGAATTTAAAAAGTGAATGAAAATATTTTTTGCAACTACATTAATGAATAACCCGTAAACACCCCCAATACCCGGTGTCACAAATGCATGAGCATCAACTAGGAAGTAAAATAAAATACAACATATGTCCGGAATACAAATTAGATGGGAGAAATATAAATAACTCTGAAGGAGACTCTACTAGATGCGGATCGTAACATGAAATGCAGCTCATGGTAAGTCCCTGCATCATTCGCGCCTCCGCGCCCAAAGGACCACCAGACATAAATGTACCTGCACAAAGATGTGCAGCAAGTGTAGTATGAGTATGTAAATCTATGTGTACCAGTAAGTATCCATCCTAACCCTAGAGGAGTAGTGACGAGGGGTCGACATCGACACTTACTAGTGGTCCAATAATATCAGGTAGAGTAAAGAGGTGAACAAATATGAGTCGGAGTAAATAAACGAAATAAACAAGTATAAATATGTGGTACAATTCNATATATATATATATAGGATCTCACCAAATAGGTTGCTACAATTCAAATTAGGAAAAACTCACAGGTGCACTGGCTTATTGCCACATAGTACGCACAATTCCATGAGGATATTTTTTATAGAAATGTTGTGGCGTATGGCTCGATCCCATCATAATATGTGCACTACTGAGGGTCGAATGACACAAACCATAGATGCATCTATTAAATTGTCGAGGCGAATGACCTGCTCCCATGAGAGTATGGTACATAAATCCTGCCGAGGCGAATGGCCTGATCCTATTAGTATAAGATGCTTTAACGGGTCCTTGACCCCCCATTCACGAATAAACGTATGAGTTACAAATTTTTAAGGAAAATCGTTCGATGAAAACGTATAGCGCGTGAGAAATTCGTAAGAGGAACACCATTATTATATGGCAAATCATGAAACTCGTGAAATCTCTACAATAGCAAGTCTATCTCTCTATGCATGTCTAGTTTCAAATCGTAATGTGAAATAAAAGAATTAAATGAGCAAAGAATAATCCCTATAGTGAAAGCATAGCATGGTGTGAATTTAAGTCTACCCGGATAATAACATGAATCTAACTACTTACGCACTCTCATCACCTCGTGCGTACGTAGCCCCCGCAACAAGTTACACATATTTAAATATATCACCTAAGGATAGTTTCCCTCTCACAGAGTTAGACAGGAGACTTACCTCGTCTCAAAGCTTACTTTCTGATCCACAATTGTGCTTTAAACCCTCAATTCGGTGTCAAACGACTCGAAACTAGTCAAATATTATATAAAATAGTCAATACATGTTCAAAAGTTCATATCCCAACTATTAAAGTAATTACCTAACCCCAATTAAAGAATTTCTAAAATTCACCCCATGGCCCACATGCCCAGATTTTGAAAATTTTCGAAGAAAGTCGTTACTCATAACCTCATGGACTCAAATATATGATTTTTATTTAATTCCATAATTATTTTCGTGGTTTAATCCCATTTTTATCAAAATCCTAGGTTTTCCTCAAAACCCCCATAAATCGCATCATTTTCCATGTTAAATTTATTTATGATTCGTAAATTTAGCTAAATAATTGATAGGGATCACTTATCTCATGATTTCGATGGAACCCCTCCCAAAATACTCTCAAAAGTCACCTAAGTCCAAGTGAGAAATGAGAGAAACGAGCTAAGTCCCGAAATAAAACTCTTGCACAAGTCGCAGATGTCGCATTTGTGACATCTTGTTCGCAATTGCGACAAAAGCATCACAAATGCGAAGATCGCAATTTCGCAAAAGCGATAAAATGTTCGCAAATGCGAACCCCTCAGAAATTTCACATCCTCGCAAATGCGATTAAAACCTTGCATTTGCAAGATCTATAACCCAGACCAGAAACCAGCAGAACCAGCAACAGGTTTTCATCCAAAGTTGATCAGAAACCACCCCGAATCACACCTGAGGCCCTTTGGGACCCCGTCCAATCACATCAACCTGTCTCATAACATAACACAAGCTTGCTCAAGGCCTCAAATCACATCAAACAATATTGAAATAATGAATCGCACCCCAATTCAAGCTTAATGAACTTTAGAACTTCAAACTTCTACATTCGATGCCAAAGCCTATCAAATCACGTCCGATTGACCTCAAATTTTGCACACAAGTCACATTTAATATTACGGATCTACTCCAACTTCCGGAATCGAAATTCGAACGCAATATCAAAAAGTTCACTCCCGGTTAAACTTCCTAAAAACCTTCAAATTTTTAACTATCACCAAATGATCCCGAAATGACCTACGAACCTCTAAATCCACATCCGGACGTGCTCCTAATACTAGAATCACCATACGGAGCTATTCTCGAGCTCGAAATCCCAACGAACATCGATAACATTGAAATACACTTCAATCCAAATTCATGAAATCCTTCCAAAATGCCAACCTTCCACAATAGGCACCAAAACGCTCACGGGTCATCCAAAAACCCGATCCGAATATATGCCAAGTCCGAAATCAGCATACGAATTTGTTAGAACCTTTAAATCTCGATTCCGAGGTCGTTTACTCAAAAATTAAACCTTGGTCAACTCTTTCAACTTAAAACTTCCGAAATGAGAATTTTATTCTAAATCAACTCGGAATTTTCCAAAATTAAATTCGACTACTCGTACAAGGCAAAATACCTGAAGTGAAGCTACTCAAGGTCTCAAACCATTGAACGATACACTAGGGCTCAAAACGATCGATCGGGTCGTTACAGAGTCTATGAAACTTATTGAGTACCGCTGTGATGTACTCAGCACTTAGAGGGGCCCCTCCAGGGCCCGACTTACTTTACATGTTTTAGGATGATGTATGATACGTGGTATGCGGTCAGGGCTAGGATGACTCTATTTCCGAGGTATTATAAAGCACCACTTTTATTTCGTGGTGACTATCATGTTATTTCTTATTTTCTTTTGTTGGAATTACTCCAAGTGTTAGTTCTATTTTGGTATGGACTATAGAGGCTCCATAGATAGTTGTGTTGAATTGTAAAAATAGGATTGTGGACGTCATGCATAAAGCAATAATCATTTAGTTTGATTATATCATTTTTATGAAAAGTTTCATGTATGATTTTGGAAATGAAAAATATGTTGTGACTTGATTTGAAAATGTACAAGATTTTCAATTGTCTTCCGCAATTATACTTGGTCTTAACATATGGGTTGGTTCACTTGGGTCGGATAATCTGCCAGGTGCCGGTCACGTGGATTTGGATCGTGACACCTGGCGCCAGGTTTGGGCACTTTATGCTTTTGTGCTATTTTCTTGTATTTTTGTTCTCTTTTCGCGCGGCCTTCTACTCATCTTTTTCTTCCGATATTTCTATACATAAAATAACATAATTTAATTCAAATATCGCATAATTAACTATTAAACTAACAACATGTAAAGCGATTAATGTACTAAAAATATAGCATTATGGCCAAATATCAAGGTCTGAACTCCGGCAGAGAATACATGTGAAGGATTTTTTATGTCAATTTCATATTTAAGGCTTAGGCTTTTATTTTTGTTTTAGGTTGTCTTTATTCGCCGGTGCGCTCAGTTACTTCCCGTCCCTAGAATTGAGGCATTATAGTGCACCATCAAGACCAAACCAAGGACCGGCAGACAATTTTTATAGAATAATAAGAATCAGAATGAGTCAAGTAACACTCAACGAATTAGATGGCATATTGTAGCCAAAACTTCACGCTCATCCCAAACTCCTTTGCTACACCTTAATCCTCATTTATCATACTCAAACATACTATATATATAAACCTGCTATTAATTACAAGCATATTTTTCTAGAATAAATCTTATTTCATATATGATATGGTCACTAACATGCTACATATGCTCAGTCAGTGTTGAGAAATAGTGTGGATATTAAACTAGCACACTCACGAACAAAGAATAAACAAAAAGAAATAACATAATAATTTAATGTTTGGTCTCTCAATTATAGAAGTTGCTACTTTCTCCTTAGCTATAGGAAGTCTTTTAAATTTTTGGCCTAAACTGTCCACTTTTGCAAATATAAAGAATGTCTATGTTCAGTAGTATATTTGTAAAGGACCAAATTCTTCAATACCCATACTTAAGGGACTATGTTGGTTTTTTCCTCTACTTTTGGGTCATAGTCAAAACTACTGATCACTCACAGACACGCTAACAATGGCTGCTCCGCTGCTCCTCAGAGGGTTCCCGCTTCTCCGGCTCCGCTTCTGCAATCAACGTCTCCAGAGTCCTAGCTTCGTATTACTTGCTCCAAGGCTTTTTTCAGCTTCTTCCGAGTCGGGTCAGCCCTACGATGACGCTGCGTCCATTGAGGACAATACTACCACCGTTCTAAGGACCAAGGACCCGCCCAAGTACCCGAGGTGGCCCGACCCGGACTATAGAAAATGGAAAGAACGAGAAACTCAGATACTCAAAGACATTGAGCCCGTTATTTTCCTTGCCAAAGAAATTATCCACTCCGATAGGTATGCTATCTTCTTCTTTAATTTACTCTCGTGGTCTCAATTTAATTTTATACAACTAGCTCCCCGTTGAAGAATTCAAATTCAGTAAACTATTCCGTATTTTTATTGTTTTATTTTACTTCTCAATCATTGTTTTAACATGTGTTCTTCACTATAAGTCGATTAGTAAATTCATGCAGGTTACCAATGCATTTATTTCACAGCTACTCGTTTGAGATTCTGGTGTGTTGATTGTGGCTTAATGCTTGCTTTTTATTTGTGCAAATGCATTACTTTTAATTTGATATGGATGCTAATTCATTTACCTTTAGTACTTTTGGACCAAGAGAAATTGAACATTAGCAAAACACTAAGGAATCACTCTCCTACAAGAGGGTAACACAATAACAGCTTTTTATGAAGGCTATTGTTCTAATAATATATCCTATGGCTCTAGAAATAAGGGAAGTATTAGTTTTTCTGCTTAAAAGAACTTTTTTCAGCAATGAAAGCAAAACTGCGCTGCTTCGCGAATAGGAAGAGACTCAGGGGCGGAGCCACCTTAGCTTAAGCGGTGTCATCCGACACTGCTTCGGCGGAAATTTTTTCTAAATATAGATTATTTGATTAGTAGCAAAAATAACATAACTAATAAATAAATTGAAATGACGCTGCTCTTCACACACGAAGGCTTAGCTCAGACAGTCAATTGCCTGAAATAAATACTAGTGAGACGTTGCGGGTTCGAACCAAGTGGCTACGTCTGTTTTGTTTTTGAACGTTTGAGCATTGTTGGCTGTTGGGTCTAGGGTCTAAGTGTCAAANTTTTTTTTGGCAATGAAATTGATATAAAAACAAATGAATAGTCTTTTAGTGATTATGTTTGGTTCTTACCTACAAAAAGAAGTACTGTTTTCAATTGGAATATTATAAGTCCATTCCAAAAGAGTAAATAAACACTCACTGAGGAGAGTTATAGTAATGTACTTTATTAATATGATTTGAACTGTATTTTTTTAGTATATGATAGCATTATATTGGATTTTTCATCTATTTCTTTAAATATCGACACCGCTTACGAGAAATACTGCGTACGCCCCTGGGAAGAGTGGCGTGTGGACTTCAATAGTCGGAGAATGAGAAGAAGCAAAGTGAAGACGTGAATTCCACCTTGAGGAGCCTGAGCTTAGGCTAACCACTAAGATCCTTTAGCACCAACGATCCAGAAAATCTTAGAAAATGACCTATAATTCTTTGCCTATTGAATTGGAAAGCTGATCATGTAGGTCTGCTTCTGTATCCTCCAAACAGTAGTAAGTCGATGATAATCTACTACTTACTACCACTTTCTGCAGCTAGAGATTAAATGAAGGAAAAAGTCAAACTCTATGATAGTTTTAAACCTTTAACTGCATTAGATAGGTA